GGAGATGTAGTCACGCTCCATTTGACGAACATTTGATATCTGGTGTTTTTGTTTCTTGTGGCGTTTAATGTTTTTCTAAGACGTTTCTTTTCTCATACTGTTGTTTTACGTACTTTGCAGCACTTTGTTGAGGGCCCAGGTTTGTCACTGGTAGCAGAGATATTATGGTGTGAAGATTGATCTGATCAGTTGGGGTTGTGTGTGTGTGTGTGTGTGTGTGTGTGTGTGTGTGTGTGTGTGTGTGTGTGTGTGTGTGGGGGGGGGGGTGTTTTTTTGGTCTCCATTGGGATATTTTTTAATAAAGTGGAATAAACAGGCAATTTCTTTTTTATATCGGTGCCAGGATGTGTGATTAATCGCCTGCAAATTCTGTGCCAAAAACTCCACCCACCAGTTTTGCCCGAGTTGTCTTATGTGGGCCCCACAGTGAGTGTAGGCTACTTAAATTTGACACAAATATGTAAAAAGTAAAGTTGTTCCCGCTTCCGATCCGGACATTGGGGATAGCCTTGTTAGTGAGACAGCTAACATGTAGCGTGGCCACAAAATGTATTTGACCTAGTTTATAGGTTACACAGTAAAAGTCGAACACTGATCACACAAAAATAATCTCAATATAAATATAATGCTCAGAGGGTAGGTGATAGGGTGTCAACAAAGGTTTAGATGAAATGAGTTATTTTCTGAAGTGACAATTAACCTCTTCACTGATGTGCTGATGTTTGCAATCTCTTATTATGTTCATCCAAGCTGGTTCGCTGACCTGTTTTTTATTCTGGTTTATTGAGGAATTCTAGAAGGAAAAGAAATCAAATGAGGTCGTGCTTGATGAAGCCCACGTGGGATGCCCAATGTTAAAAACAATCAGGAAACGACAAATGCAACTTTTGGGACACCTGAATAGATATAAGGGTCTTGAACCTCTAGCTCTCACCGGCAAAATTAAGGGCAAACGAGGCAGGGGTAAGCCCAGAGCAACCAACTTAAGGAACCTGAACAAATGGGTATCGCGGAAAGATCAGGGAAACGTAGCTTTTGTAAGGGCATCCGATCAAATGAATGAATGGAGAACCATGATTGTCGATGTCTGTCGCAGATCTGGCACTGGATGATGATTCGAGAAGATGTATTTTTTCAACGTATGTAGTTTCATGTTCTTAATAAGGGGGAATATATTGTGGCTTTGTTTAAATCTCACTTGAATGAACATTCATTTAAGTTTTAGCACTGAAAAAGTTAAATAGCAAGATTGTGATAATTAATGATATAATAACATGGTTTCGAGTGTTGAGTTGTACCGCCATGTAAAAGTTTCGTCCCCTAAAAGTTTTGCTAGCTGTGCGTTGTGCGGCTGATAAAACCGTTGTAGCATCAGTCTGGTCTCCTCCCACATCGGTCCCAGGCTGGCTTTGGCGTGCGTGTTGGTGTTTTTCTCTTTCGCTCTCTCTATCCGGCCTAGTGCTTCGTCAGTCAGCGGTGCTGTGGAGAGAGAGAAGAAGAAACACGAAGGTGGGAGGGAGGGGTGAAGTGGGGGTGTGGGGACGAGGGGAGGGCGGGGGAGCGCAGGGTTACAGCCAGAAAGACCAGTTTGACAGAGTACGTTTTGTAAACAGTTGGTCTGTCTGTCTGTCTGTCTGTCTGTCTGTCTGTCTGTCTGTCTGTCTGTCTGTCTGTCTGTCTGTCTGTCTGAAAGTTATGCCGGAAACGTGACTCTCTCACACTGAACTAAAAAGAAACTTTAAAAAATCAACCTCCAAACAACACAGCGACTCATCAGTTGGGACCATAGACCTGTACTCCTAGACCACGCACAATCATGGCCGCCGCTCCTCCAGCTCTCTCTCCCTTTC